TGTTAAGCAACACTGTTTCAAGTGAGAAACTGAAAAACGATATTATATCAGTTAAATTATCATCCCATTTTTTTGGTTTCTTGAGTAGAGCAGTCCAACTGTTCATGGTGTATTTTGTAAATGGGTCTTCTCCAGAAAAAGAAGTTGCCTTTAGCTCGCGTGACTTCAAACAACAAAAGGTATAAGTCTTAACTTGTTTGACACATTCGATTCTTTGTCATTTGGTTGCTATTGAATCCCATGATTGATCCTGCTTGTCCCAACGATCAATAAAATGATTGATGAAAATGTCTTGCAGAAAACCGTCGCAATTAATCTAGCTTCGGTATTTGGTTTCAACAATCCGTTGTCATTGAAATGAAACATCAGTTTTTTTTAACACCGTACACACATTAACTAGAGCTTTCAATGGCACACAGTCGACCGACTAAAAGGAAATTCATACGGAACTCTACATTTCGTGATTTTTTCACTGGAATTGACGAAATCACAGAATAGAAAAAGCGCTCCCGGACAAAGAATGTCTGTCTGCGTAGAGCGCATTCTTTCTCTGGATTGCGCAATTTATAATAAGGAAATTTCCAGAATTCGGTTACATTTCCTGCGAAGGGACCATTCTCATTTGCCGCTGCCCATTTTCGAGTTAACTCCCTACTCGTATGCCACTTGCAACTACACTTTGGTGTCAAAACTAGTTTGTCCTTTCGACCATGCCAAATGATCCTCAGGTGTTTGATACAGAAAAGAGTCACGTGATGAATGAACACTTGAGATTTGCAGTCTCCGTAAGGCTTTCTTAAACTTGGTAGCCGGATTATACTGCCGTGTTTGTACGCAGTGGCCTTTCTCCAGTCTTGGAAACGAGCTTCACGGATGAAGTACGCCCATGTATCCTCCGAGTTTCATCGTAAGGAAGAAAAAATGTGATAACAGAACAAATTCTGATGCTTTTTCTCACAAAGCGCAGCTGCGAGTATTGAAGACTGCAATTTTCAGTAGTTTCAGTTAGCAAGAATTTCGTATATCATGTCTTGGGCCTTTTCAGTGTTGCTTGTCATGAGGAGCCCTCTGTTGATAGAATCATCAACAGTTTTTTGTTAGCGGCGATTGTTGAACTGCTACCTGTCCAATTAACGAATAATACACTCCAGTAAGCCAAGTATAATAATGTATTTCAGGCTGTTATTTCGCACCGTTCTTTCCGCCTAAGTTTGAACGTAGATTTTTACATACTTGAACGTATGCTTGAAAAATTCTAAGCAAAGTTTTACCGATTTACTCGTATTGGATTGGTGCAGTCGACAGCTGTTGTGATCAAGGTAGTTGTCCCTTTGAGGTTACGTTCACGGAACTGGGTGATTTGAGCATGAACTAATGAATGACTACTCCACCCAATGTACAAACTAGGAGTCTGGGGATGTGCGTTTTTTGAAGAGCCCATTTGGAATGCACACCGTAACGGAGCAAGGTGCTTGTCTGGAAGCTAATACGAGTAATTTATCGCGTCGAAATCAGTAGGCGAGCTATCACAGAGAAAAACAGGCCAAGATAATTCTAATGTTTAGTTTGTGGGGCCAATGTAGTCAAATGCCTCTGGAAGAAGACTTTTTGAATTCTTCAAAAAGAGGCTCCTTTCGTCGGTCGCCTCACAGTGATTGACGTCTGTGATGCGATAAGATGGCTTAAACTGTGCCTCACCCTGCTGCTATCTTACGAAACACAGTTAGTTGCCAGATCCACAAAGAAGAAGACCCACCCATCAACGGATCCCATAAGCAACACCGGGGTCGGGCTGCTTATAGAGTGACCTGACGGCACTGATACAGGTCTACAGGTGCCTTCTGGGACACTGGTGTAAGCCTGGTCATGTCCGGACAGCACTGTGCGTCTACAGGGCTTGCATTCAGGTTTTTGGTTAAGTTGACTAAACCGCTAAGTGCTTTTTCTATGAGGTACATGTCTTTGATGCGTGTTTAGACTATCAAATCAGATTTGGCGGAGTTGACTGGTGCACCTCCGATACAAGCGGTTAGAAATAATTGAGTTTTTGATGGTATTCTGTTATAGAGAGCTACATTTAGCTGGGTAGATCTTTCTTTTGTTTATGCCGACTTTTGTAGACAAACTGAATTCTTTTTCCCTGTGCTAGTTTTTGTAGGTTGCACAGGGGCAGTCTTTGCTGCCTGAGTACGATAACCAGTCTTTTTTCAACTTATCTCTGGTTGCGATAGCTGAGTGTATTTATTGAAGTGCTGACGCCTGCTTAGTTCTGACATTCTTTGAAGGATTGTCACATGAACGTATACTTCCTTGTATTATTTTAGTCGCATGCTGGTGAAAGTAAGTCCGACGAATAGCCGATGACTGACAGTTTGATGAAGATTGACTGTTAGTTTTTTTTATCTCTCCAAACAAGGCAGAGTCGTCAGCATATTTGAGGTTCACTTTTCATATGTTTGAGACCAACCTGACACAAGTGTTAGCTANTCATTTGCCGCTGCCCATTTTCGAGTTAACTCCCTACTCGTATGCCACTTGCAACTACACTTTGGTGTCAAAACCAATTTGTCCTTTCGACCATGCCAAATGATCCTCAGGTGTGTGATACAGAAAAGAGTCACGTGATGAATGAACACTTGAGATTTGCAGTCTCCGTAAGGCTTTCTTAAACTTGGTAGCCGGATTATACTGCCGTGTTTGTACGCAGTGGCCTTTCTCCAGTCGTGGGAACGAGCTTCACGGATGAAGTACGCCCATGTATCCTCCGAGTTTCATCGTAAGGAAGAAAAAATGTGATAACAGAACAAATTCTGATGCTTTTTCTCACAAAGCGCAGCTGCGAGTATTGAAGACTGCAATTTTCAGTAGTTTCAGTTAGCAAGAATTTCGTATATCATGTCTTGGGCCTTTTCAGTGTTGCTTGTCATGAGGAGCCCTCTGTTGATAGAATCATCAACAGTTTTTTGTTAGCGGCGATTGTTGAACTGCTACCTGTCCAATTAACGAATAATACACTCCAGTAAGCCAAGTATAATAATGTATTTCAGGCTGTTATTTCGCACCGTTCTTTCTGCCTAAGTTTGAACGTAGATTTTTACATACTTGAACGTATGCTTGAAAAATTCTAAGCAAAGTTTTACCGATTTACTCGTATTGGATTGGTGCAGTCGACAGCTGTTGTGATCAAGGTAGTTGTCCCTTTGAGGATACGCTCACGGAACTGGGGGATTTGAGCATGAACTAATGAATGACTACTCCACCCAATGTACAAACTAGAAGTTTGGGGATGTGCGTTTTTTGAAGAGCCCATTTGGAAAGCACACCGTAACGGAGCAAGGTGCTTGTCTGGAAGCTAATACGAGTAATTTATCGCGTCGAAATCAGTAGGCGAGCTATCACAGAGAAAAACAGGCCAAGATACTTCTAATGTTTAGTTTGTGTGGCCAGTGTAGTCAAATGCCTCTGGAAGAAGACTATTTGAATTCTTCAAAGAGAGGCTCCTTTCGTCGGTCGCGTCACAGTGATTGACGTCTGTGATGCGATAAGATGGCTTCAACTGTGCCTCACCCTGCTGCTATCTTAAGAAACACAGTTGCTAGATCCACACAGGAGAAGTCCCACCCATCAACGGGTCCCATAAGCAACACCGGGGTCGGGCTGCTTATAGAGTGACCTGACGGCACTGATACAGGTCTACAGGTGCCTTCTGGGACACTGGTGTAAGCCTGGTCATGTCCGGACAGCACTGTGCGTCTACAGGGCTTGCATTCAGGTTTTTGGTTAAGTTGACTAAACTGCTAAGTGTTTTTTCTATGAGGTACATGTCTTTGATGCGTGTTTAGACTATCAAATCAGATTTGGCGGAGTTGACTGGTGCACCTCCGATACAAGCGGTTAGAAATAATTGATTTTTTGACGGTATTCTGTTATAGAGAGCTACATTTAGCTGGGTAGATCTTTCTTTTGTTCATGCCGACTTTTGTAGACAAACTGAATTATTTTTTCCTGTGCTAGTTTTTGTAGGTTACACAGGGGCAGTCTTTGCTGCCTGAGTACGATAACCAGTCTTTTTTCAACTTATCTCTGGTTGCGATAGCTGAGTGTATTTATTGAAGTGCTGACGCCTGCTTAGTCCTGACATTCTTTGAAAGATTGTCACATGAACGTATGCTTCCTTGTATTATTTTAGCCGCATGCTGGTGAAAGTGAGTCCGACGAATAGCCGATGATTGACAGTTTGATGAAGATTGTTAATTTTTGTGATCTCTCCAAACAGGGCAAAGTCGTCAGCATATTTGAGGTTCACTTTTCATATGTTTGAGACCAACCTGACACAAGTGTTAGCTACGAGTTATAAGTAACAGCATAATTGTTCCACAGTGAAGTGAAGATTAAACTCGGATAGCTCTTCAAAAGCTCGGACATGAGCCTTTATTGACGTTCAAATGACTGGAACTGGGATTCCAGCAGGTGGGGAAAACTACAAAGACCCATCATGAACGAGGTCACACCAGCCTTAACTAGATAAAGCAGATAAAGCCACCGCAGCCAGTTCCTATGTTTTAAAATCCGCTTTAGCATGAAAATTGGTTGATATCTTGCACCTTGCGTGCTTAATTTCGTTCGGTCAGGTGGAGCATCAAATTTCGAATGGCTAACACACCCATTGTATTTCTGGGCCCATGTTGCCGACGATATTTCGGCGATATCTATGATTCCGACGCCCTCATTCTTCAATCGGGGAAAATAGGTTAAAAATCAAATGGGTGTGCACATTCTCAAAAACGACAAATAACGGCAAGTTAACTGCATTCCTAAAGAGGATCAGAGACGGATTTTAGCGCGCCCTGAAGCTACCCTCCCGTTAAGCCTCCGAAAAGTCAAGTTACAAAAATTACAATTTAGTAGTATTTTATCATACATAGCTACATCCGTGGATAATCAACGGAAACTGAGTGATTTTAATTCAGAATAACCTCATTTATTTATATCTGCTAACCTTTAGAGGCAATTAATATGCTGAAGCCAAAGAGTTGAGGAAAGTGCAAATGGTAGACAAAATCTTATTGGTATTAGTTCAGTTATCTGAAGATACAAACGAGCGTTGTTTCCTTATCTGTGCAATCACTATCACAGTATAGAATAAATCACTGTACATCTAGTGAAAGAGCTATTCCTGAAAAGGAATTTGGAATGTACTGTAGAAGCGCTAAAATGCGCTTTTTAAATAGTCAAAGCTATCAACGAAACTGTGCTGGAGGAGGAAGGAGGACCAACTCTGGATTAACTTGTTCGTTAGTAGGTGGTGAGCGTCTCTGAATAGCCGGATAGTGGCGTATATTATTTGAGTTGATCGTCTCTGCGGAAGAAATTCGTTGTCTGGAAGCCTCACGGTCGGCTTTGATGACTGTAATTTTTGCTCCGCCCGGCGACCCGTTGCAAGGTTTTTCAAGCTTCTGAGGAAGATTCATATTCTTGGGACTACGTGGCTCTGTGTGCACACCAGACCTGGATCTCACGGGAATTTTCCTTGTTTGAGTTGGACAGGCAGGAACGCCAACGGAGGACGTAGAAGATTGTGAATCATGAGATCCTATCCTGCGAAATCTGGGGTGCCTTGCAAAGTATAGGGATTGTGCTAGGGAAGTGGAATCGGTAGTTGTGCTGTGTACCTGAAATTACGAAGGACAGGAAGGTTGTACATTGGATACGTCTGGACATCAAAATGCGAGTAACACTTCTAAATGGGAACCGCCCGGTATCTCCGTAGTAAACGGATTTCACGCTCTAAGAATTATCAGCGGGTTCAGATGTCCACTAAAACGGCGGTTTAAATTACTAGAGTCGCCCAGTACGAACTGTGAAAACGACTGCGCTTAGAAAAGTATCTCTGAATGGATAGCCGAGAACCGGAAAAATGTAGGCGGATAGGACTGAAAACATTCTATTTTGAATCCTTTTCATGGCTACTTGCTAGTAGAATTTAGGTCTTGTTGTTGTGAACGATAGGTTTCTTGGTTTGCAGTTGGATGGATGAAAATGGGTTTCATAGCTCTATGGCCAACTCTTCAGTTACGACGGATGCACTCATTCAGCTAATCAGCTTGTCTTTTCGGAGCGGAACCACCAAACCGGTTTTATTCCACTACAATCGATTCTTTGTTATCACTTTCTTAATGAGTCCTAAGTGTACTATTATCTGACCAAGGTTGAGAATGAATACGCTTAGTTAATGTGAACGCCCACATATCGACTGTAAAGACTACAGTCTTACGTAGGTGGGTCAAACAAATGTCGACAGCTTGGTCGCCTACATACATCGCGTGAGATGCTTTAAGTATATCGTGCCAAAAGATGTGCATTACTCAGGGGCCGCCACAATGATTTGAGTAAACTGAAGGAGTCGAGTAGATTGGTTGTGATACTCCAAGTAATTCCATTAGTAGACGACTGCTTTTCTTTGAGCATATCAGTTTTTGGTACAGCTGAACAAACACTCAAACTCACAGGTCATCAGGGGGTAGGTCATAGTTCATCTCAGATCAGCCGATTGCTGTGCATTATAATAGTGAGGTGCGAATAATATTTTACCGGTGTTTTGCCGCTGGTGATGACTATGATCATTATTATTACTATTCACGACGAAGCCTTGGTGCAAAAACGTCACAGACAGTGACGGTCCGTAATTTGTTGGAATATTGGTAGCTCGCGTTCATTAAGTGGTAATTGATCAGGTGGCTGTTGATCTGTTCGTCAATCTTGGCGATTGATTTGCAACTGTTCCGTCGCCATTCGGGGAGACATTTTAGTTCGCTGTTGGGTGAGTAGTCCCTCTCTTCATGCTTGCGTTTATTTGGTTTACAAAAAGTGGCTATGAGGTGTAGCCTGACTGGTCATTGATAATCATCGCACTTGGATTCTGATTGTTTCACTCAAGTGCTGCGTTGCGTTATGGTTCGTATTTCTTGCTTCTCGAATGGTGACGAAAAGTTTGCAAATCAGTTACCAGCAGGCACCGTTATCAGTAGTTCAGTCGGCAGAAAATCCATCCGGTAAGCAAAAGGTTGCTGGTTCGCGTCTGTCCCCCAGATGTGTCTATTTCTGTACTTGGAGCTCTCATTTTAAGACGTACCATATGACCATACAACTTCCAACAACCTAGTGAAGCTATGCGGATCACTGAGGAAAGCCGATGGATCGGAAAGCACGTTCCACTTTACACTTTCCTTGTCTTCATCAGTCAGTCTCTCCTAAACAGAGACAGCTACTGAACACCATGAATGGGAAATATTTTGCGAAATACCGCAGCTTGTTGATAACATTGTCCGAACCATTTTAAAACTAAACTTATCATCCTAATCATCCTCAATTCTAACTGTGAACACAAATCTGACCATGTCCAGTGCAAAGCCTTCCGTCCTAGTACTTCCGAGGTGGGGATTCCTGATGTATGTATTTACTCGTTATCACGCGAGCCAGGTTTGGAAATTTGCTCGCCAGACAAATTCTTTTCCGGTCATAACAACTCCTCATTAATACAGACAAGTCAAGTACCCGCAGATTAATAGCTAAATATATAAAGAAATGATCAAATTCACAACCACTGCATTACCTGGTATTCTTTAGAAATAACAAGTGGAATTGACTGAAATCCTCTCTCACGTTCGGGTTACGGTGCGGCTATTGGAGTGGAAGAAATTGTGATGACATCATGTAGAGGCTACTGTGCCTCTCGGCAGGATAAGCTCTGTCCTTCCAGAGCAGATACACGTGTGCTCTTATCTTGATGCTCTGATTGCAGATTTTATAAATTAATTAGTCTTTATTCACTTAATTACCACAACTTTGCCACAGTACTATTGAAACTTCCAAAACAGGCTTGCGTTTGACAACGCCTTCACAAGCAACAGCATGTAATTGGCAGGCGTTTCCCGTAATGTAACTGCTGTTGACACTCGGTTACATCGTTCATCTGACCACAGTTTTGACCAAACATAATTATGAAAGTTTCCTCGCCGATTTTGAGCTTTCGGACCGTCTTTTGTCACATAAAAAGAAAGTGGCTTGGTGTCCGAACGTTGATTTGTATTAAACCATGTTGAAAGGTGCCATAAATGACTGAAACAACGTGAATTCTGTGAGCAAAGGATCTGAGGCATCCCCAGACATTTACGACGCCTAATAGCAGCACCTGGTACAGGTCAGCATAATTGGATTGGTAATCATGTAACAATGAACCGGAGGGATGATTCCGCTCACCAGCTGGTTCTGCGAACTGAGACGATCGTCAAATTTTGAACAACCAACAGACAACTCATTCTAGCCGCAGACCAGGAGTTCTCAAAAGTTGACGAATTTCCAGGATTATGTCTTTCTCATTCCTTATGCTTTGCTGGCTTAAACCAACGATGCTAGCAGTTGTTCTGCCAGCTTGTGGCCAGGATATTTGAATTATTCTTTTTTTATGAAATATGGAGCCGTACATGTTTTTGGTGAACCGGCAGACAGGTAGAACCAGCTAATCACATTTTCTTATCTTCTGGAGGGCTATTTGATTAAAAGCCTGCTCACCAGCGAAGCTGCATTCTGACCATTTTTAGCTTTTGTCAGCTTTTTGAGGATATCGATAAGCATGATGTACTTTTGTTACTTTTTTCAATTAGATTGCAGATTTAGAACCAGAATACCACTGTATGCTTGAAATCTGGATTAGTAGGGCGATGGTTAGGGCGTTACCTCCCCAAGAACAGATATTATCGACCCGCAAACCACAAAATATTACAAATGAAGTGGGGAGCGCCCTTCTCTGCAAAGTTGTTTACTAACAAACACGGACTAAGCGGTTACAAGCCGTTAGACACAAAGTAAACATTTCATCTGCACAGAGCTTTTGAAAATTGAACAATCTCAAGCGTTTTCTTGAAGTTGACTGGTGAAGAATAATAAATGAAAATTGCAAGGTGGTTCCATAATTCCCGTAGTGAGCTTCACCTTCCGTCAGATATGAAAGCGAAGCCTGGATACCAGACCAAAAGGTTAATTGCATGCTTTATTAGTAGTATAAACCGCTACACTGGCACTACAAGATGGGGACTGTTGTCATAGCCTGTACTGGATTTAATGTTGTTTTCTCATTGATTCCTGTTCGGTTCTATAGTGGTTTAAGTTTACAAACTAACAGATTGATGTGCATTACCACAGAACCTGATTGTTTCCATAAAAACTTTCGTAGCTGGACAATCACTGATGAGCCGAAAGTGATGTTACACCTCACCCGATATCAGGCAGAGCACCACTGGTACTTCCCATTAGAGAGGAAGGAGTAGTAAATTAGATTATTCGGGGGTGTGAGGGAAGCGAATCCTTACTGCTCAACGATGACCCTAACACGAAGAAAACTGGAGATGAATTTGTACGTAAGATGTTTTCTCAAGGCAGCCAGTATATTTGCGTTTCTGGGAGCAGAGAAGCTGCCATCCCTGCGGAAGGACGGGTTAGAAGAATTCGGTCCTAAAAACCGTACAAATGTTTACCGCAACCGACATTGAATCATCTCACAAGGTTGACGTCTACTTAGAACTCACCAAGAGTCCAACGCGGCTCCAGAAGCATCCGCTGTTTTCAACAAAACTAGGGGTGATACCATATTTTTTTACACCTTCGGGCTAGGTCAGCTCGCTGTAGCGGAGCAGGTGGGACTACCAAGTCCTGAGCTTTGGTAAAGATATTCCTAAGAAAACCCAACTGTTTACAGCCTTACAAATGTGCAGTGTAGGTTGGGGTTTCCCAATTATACTTCGGTGTATTAGCAAAAGAAACATCATTTGCTCTCAAAGTTCTCTGTCCGCTGATGTCTTTCCGATTCCCTGCCCCCCCTCTTACAGGTTAAAGTGGTGCCTCATTTGAGTGTTAGTTGTCTGACCGACGTGTCATCTACAACTTGCCAACCGTTGATATTAATCGGAATTACGCAAACATATCTGCACGCTTATTTCTACCTAGGAGCTTTCGACGTCGGTACTTCATATCAAGTTTACAAACAGGCAGTTCCGCCCATTCATTATACTCTCTTAAAGTTGATATATTCTGTACCCCCGTGAAACGCATACAAGCCTGAAGAGTAGAAATGCACTTTAAAGCTCCAAACGCCGGCGTCTTCCATTTTATTTTCTGTGTGTTTGAAGCAGGGATTTGTGGAATATATGGCATACAAGTTACCCTCCTTTCCAGGGCTGGACGTGCTTGACTCAACTGCATTCAGGCGAATATTCCTTTTTCCCCCATTGGGTTATTAAACTCAATCATACTCTGCTACTCCACCTAATAGCCAGCGCCCGTTAGTAGTATCAGCTTGTACTCCAGCTGACTGCGCTTCTGGAGCCGAGAATGACCCTGTCCAACGGACTTTAACCGAACGGATTTGCCAAACAAGAAAACCCGACACCATCATTCGTGCTAGTGCTATAAATATTCGGGCCGGTCGCCTGAGTCCGTTAGGATCGTCTCCGGGCGGTTGCTTCGGAGTCGATATTCACCACACCGACAACGGAAAACATCCTCCACATGTGGATGTTTTCAGCAGAAAGCCGTACACCGTACAAATTGACCTTGACCTCACTCGGATCATGTGGCTACCAGCCAATGACGGAGACCCAAGATTCGAGAATGTCGCTTCTGTTGTGCAGTAGCACTTGATTTCAATCACGCCATAATGTGAGCACGTTTCAGTTCACGTTCATCCCAGCCGACTGAAGTTACAAGCACATTTGTCTCCTCGCTAGCTGTATCAGTCACGCTGGTCAAGCTGAGATTGATAATTCTATCTGCATCTGGGAGAGCAGAGAGGCTTTGTGCAACCCGCACTATTTGTGACGGAGCCGTAAGATCAGCTTTTCTTTCAAGGTCGAGGTTAAATGCTTCTGTACACCTCATTATGTTATATAGGCCGGAAACCTGGCTGCTTCGAGCTGGAGGCATTGAAAAAACTTCTTTTTTTGACCACCACTATGTTCACATCATTGTTCGAATGGGGTAGGAACACTAGTTCATTGATGCTCACTCATCACATTCCATGAGTTGTTGTGGCTTGGTCTCGTGCTTCGGGCCTCGATGTATCGACTTTCTCGGAAAGCACTTTTTCCGCAGCCATGTGGATAGCGGAAACCAACTGGAGTAGTTCAAGCGATTGGTCAGGGACAAATTCTGAAAACCATTACGAGCAGTTGCTCTGATAATTACGGTCTCTCTGGGATGCATCGATACCTACAGAGAATGACAGAAATGTCCCAGTGACGCGCTCAAAACGTCAATGCATTCGAACTGCCACCCTCGCTGCTTGACTTCCCATCTCCCCATCTGGAGTCACTCGCCAATGATAACGACTACTACCTCCGATGTACAGGAATCCACGTTTTGTTTCCAGATCGTCTGTGGACGAAAGTGTGGCGCCTATACAGTATGTAAACGTATCACAGCTCAACTTGATAGGGATGATTTTCCTGTGTGGTTGAAAACTGGAATCATATTCCTTGCATAACTGAATAGTTTAGATATTGAATACTCTCACCTGCCTGTGGATAAAGCACACAAGACAGTGGACCTGAATGTTAGTCACGTCACCTAGGGCACTACGAATGTTCGTTTACTGGCAGCATAACGAAATAATGTACCACCAGGATGCACCTCTACATAATTTATATACTGTGGCAGCCAGCAACTTGTCTTCCAAGGAACTGGACGAGAATTACCACACGTCAAATTCGCAGTGCAACTATGGCGTTCATCAAATATGCCTATAACATGTGAGGTCAATTATTGGCCACACCACTTTCGATGATGAAGAGATTGTTGATGTCATCGAACAGTTCAACACTTGTGGTTAGCTAGAAACCACCTGACGTGACTAGAGAACAGTAAATCTAAGCACTAGATAGGACAAGTATGACGGAGCATTTTAATAGTACTGTTTGTTTTTTGGTGATTAATCCGGTCGCTTAGGGTACCATCTGGTTCCCACTTGGTTCTTCTCGGGAAAGAGGGCTAGGAAAATAAATTGGTGCAGCCAAAATTCCTACCCTCCCCCCCCCCCACCCAAACATTCTTTTGATTTGAGTGACATATCAAATGGCTTAAATCTCACTGAGTAACAGATTTTTTTACCGAGCGATCTACCCTGGTCTGCTTGTGTGTTACTTTGAGCAGGGGAACAAGCTGTGAATCCGCGCGCCACCCTGAATTCATGGATAGAAAATAAGCATTGAGCTTCGTCTAGACTCGTCGGTTAAAAGCCGCGGAGATGACAATATTCTGACTGATTATATTTCGTAGATGCTGCAAATCTTCAGTCTATAAGGGCTTAGCTGCTTGTCCAAATCATAATACATAGTCAGCTTTTTTCAAACTACACTTTAGGCAGCGGTTAGATGTGTGATCGGACTGCTCCATTCATACTATCCGGAAGATAATAAATGGCTTTTATTCAAATCGCATAACGTTCTTCTGGATAAACTCACAAAGAGAATGTTAAGCTTTCAACCTCTAGTTTTCTAATACTATTCTTCCCAAGTGTATGTTTCTGTCAATATTTATCTTGTTTGTTTTACACTGAGAACTACTCTCTCTCACATCTTTGGAGACGTGCGTGTAAGCTATGTTGGCTCAACAACTACACTTTTAGGCAGCGGTTAGATGTGTGATCGGACTGCTCCATTCATACTATCCGGAAGATAATAAATGGCTTTTATTCAAATCGCATAACGTTCTTCTGGATAAACTCACAAAGAGAATGTTAAGCTTTCAACCTCTAGTTTTCTAATACTATTCTTCCCAAGTGTATGTTTCTGTCAATATTTGCCTTGTTTGTTTCACACTGAGAACTATTCTCTCTCACATCTTTGGAGACGTGCCCGTAAGCTATGTTGGCTCACTTGACGTGTTCCACATCTCTAAAGGCTTTTTTCGTCAGAAACCTGACACTACGTCTTCCACAAAGCCTTTGAAAAAAACCATACACGCAAACAAGTGAGCGTAAGTTGTGAGAATACTGAGCCGTGTCGTTCTTGATGAATCCAGTTGCTCTGGTGCGTATATGGCAGAAGGAACTGCACATAGATATACGGTTGGATAAATCCGGCAGGTTTTGGATGATTTAACTTGAATCCATAATGGGGATAAGTTTACCAAGCTGGATATCAGAACTGACGTCTGGTAAAGTCATTGATATCAATCGAGTAACTCCAACTCGTTCCGTTTTTACTGGTGTGTGAAAGCGAGTTACCACCGGATGTTGGCACAGATGATTGCAACCATGGTTACCAATCGTTGTCATTTGACTAGACAACCGATAACAATGTAGAAAATACGCATGAGTAGTGCTCAAACGACCACACCCAACTTTCCAAATGAAAGTGATGACTCAAGTGTGGTAATACACACACCCTATTTATCGTTACCCAACTAAGTCAGACGTACTGCAATGCTCTGGATATACTTAAACAAACCCGTCCTACCTCAGCAAGTCCGGATGTTGTCCTTGATCGTGTCAAACCAACAACTTTTGGAGGTTGAGGTAATGCGTTGATCTGAACATCCAGTTTGCTGCCAGAATATTGACGAACTGCGGGAGGCACATCTGCTGATTTGGTGCTTATGTTCAGGGTGTGAGGACGTGATACCAGTGAGCTTCGAGCAGATACATTGTTGCTGCTTGTACCTGTCGACTGACTCCATACACCTTCGTCTAGGATCAAATAGATGGCAAAGGAAATGAGGAAATGATCAAATGAATAAATGATCAATCAAACTTGAAACATCTACGATTGTTCAACGGGATAACTGTCGGAAAACACTTCAAATTATGCTCAGATTGGATTACACTTCCATCCACTCAGTCGAGTTTCAAACATGCTGCCATTCAGCTTCGTTATAGGTCACCCACTAACCTGATAGCCACACGCAAGATACACAGTCGGAAATTCCTAAGAACAGAGCATTTGCTTCTGCTTTCTTCCCCCTAGTTATTGTGTCAAGAAAGACGGTTACGAGTAAGAGAGATAGCTTCTTGCTCCATAGGGTCGTCTGTAAAACTGAAAACTAGCAGGTACCTTTAAGTGAATGGACCCCTTCGGATAGATATTCTGTCGTACTGAACTTTGACAGTCACGTTGTGATGTTCATTGCTGGTTCGGATCAATGCATTATAGATCGGTCCATGTGCAGGTTGTCTGGATTGGTTCACATGCAAAGTTCGCATTGTAACCTGGAGTTTACCTTCAACACGTGTGAATAAACGCACACACACACGGCTTTATCTTTCTCCTATCGCACTCCATGATCCTTTCCATGAACAGCAAGATCAAAGGAGTGACAATGTATCGAGAAAGAGAGTTCAATTTCTTGAGTGTCACGTCAACTAAAATATGAGTCGGATTTTGTTCAGCGCATTCATTCAAACAACCTTATAAAGGAGAGATTTAGCTTATATTCATTTCAATCCCATTTGAGCACCAGTTCACAGTGTTATTAAGGACAACGCCCTGTTTCATACCACTCATATTCAGAGTTGGTTTATGCTCCATTTCGCGATGGTGTGGCAGTGGCTGCTTTTAAAAGCATCTCCATCCACGCAGAGATATTACAAAGATCGCTCAGGCGTCACACTCTTTTTCAGCCAAGCTGCCATGCCACTGAAATGGGCAAGAGGATTGGGATACAGGCAGGTTGCCTAAACCTAGAGGTCGGATTCTAACCACGGATCTTCAAGTCAGTAACCAATGAGCCACCTCGCCCTCTGTTAAGAAAAGTGCGAATAATTGTGATTGCAAAACTAAAATTATGACTGTCCTGCGAAAGGAATCCGGAGGTATCAGTCAAATAGTTACCTACAAATTTATAAAATATAAGCCCTGGTGTACTGTAAAGTTCTTGAGGTAACCGGACAGGGAAATATCATCAAAACAAAAGTTGAGAGACAATATTTTGTGGTGCTTCCACGATTCTGTCCTGTCTACTTGTCATCCATTGATAAGAGGCATTTGTCATCCTGTCTTTATGTCGCTGATTTTATAACCCTGGGGAGATATCAGGAAATTAGAGCAATAACCGTTTCCATTATTCCGAGTTTACTCTCTTGGGTTGGAAACATTTTTTGTGCACGGTCCACCCATAGCTGGTAGATGCGTACTATGCTTCCTTCATCTTTCCATAAACTTTCATGCGTAATTCACTTTTTCGAGCTTCGACAGAGCTTAAAGTAAGAGCGGACAGTTGAACCAGCTTGTGTGCGCCTGACATTTATGAAGTTATGTTGCTGTTATTTCGGGTAACTTGACTGTGTGGTTATTATGCGTTAAAGGCTTCAAGCTACTAGTCTAAATGAATCCTACAGTTGCACTAATTTATGTGGTATTGTAGATAAGATAGAGTCACACCTTGAATGGACGAACAGTTTGTGCGGTCCGAGCTCCGTGCCGAGGAAAGCTCTGAGCTCTCCGTAGACAGTACAGGTCGTCCACTCTTGGCACTCTGGCCGGGAACTTGGTAACCTTTAGAATTATCATCAACAGGCATACTGTAATATGTAGCGGAGCTCGTGCTGGCGCTCGTCGACTGATCGGAAATAGGGTCACTCTTGTTCATCACTGCCGCCGGTGTGGTCTGATCAGCAGATACTTGCGGTTGGGGTGGCGGTGGTTTCGGAGCTGATGGATGTTGGATCACTGGACTGACAATCGTCAGACATACGGAATCCAATACCGCCCCAGAGAGACATTGGATCACTTCGTCATGGGATGCCCTTGAGATATCGATCCCATTTATCTATGACGCAATGGAGAGGAAAAGAAAACTTTATAAACTTATTTGGAAAATCTTTGGAAGCTTCTTTCACAACTAATCACTGGAGTGTTCCATGGAGAAATTCCCAAATAGTACTTCACTGTGTAGACCAACCACAAGCCTGTTCATATTTTAGTAGGGATACCATTTAACTTGTCCTAAAAAAGTAATGATGAGAAGCACCAATGTGTTTTTTCCGAGGTAGCATAATATGCCGCGAAAGTGTGTCTTTCAAGTGCTCAAAAAAGGACATCTAGACAAACGACAGTTGTGGTTCAACATTCCAAATAGATTCACTACGTTAGTGTATAATTCTACATAGTTGAATCTGGAGAGAGTACTTCTGTGGATGCATTTTCTCTTGGCAAAGAATCTCGCACCTTTTGTGTCAGCACAGCATTTCAGACAACGAAACATACTCTAGAACATTTATTTTCATAAACAGGTTTTATGGCCGTTTCCGACAATACTGGGGACGGATTAAAATCCCAAATAGTCAGGAAGCGAACAAACTAGGCATCAGCACCTACACAGTCATGTCGACAGCCTAGAGTCAACAAGGAATTACAAATCCAGACAAAGGAGCAGCTGTGGTACTTTTGAAGAGCACCGACAGTAATGAAAAAATTGGAACTGGTTAAGTGTGATAGCACCAAAATGTCGCCGAAAGCGAAGGACGATACATTAACAGCAGTAGCAGGAGAAGTAGAGGTAGTTAAAAGGCGTTGGTACGTTCGGCGCATAAAATTTAAATAGCATGAACTCATGGGGCATGTGGTCCAACTAAAGTGCACAGGGCTGGTGTGAAACTAGGTCCAATTCTGGCTGTTCAAAATTCACCAATTGGTTTGGTGAAGTACTAGGGCCAGTCGGAATCTTGTTTGCTAATCAAGCAAAGTAAGTAACGCTTTACTCTGGGATGTTCCATCACTTTTTACTCATGTTCTTTTATCAGAGACTGAGCATGTAGAGTAACCAGATTCCTACCAGTGTATCTCCTGAATAGGGACATATTTTACTCTGAATGCCGGAGATGCAAATCTGGTTCATCGAAGTTTTCGACAGACAAACGTAAGGATTAGCCATAATCTTTCCACTTGGCCCCCTCAGTCTCATATATACATATGAGCAAACTGGAGAGTCCCACATTGACCGGTGGGATAACAGAATACGACATTTACAGCAGACAGGTCGGTGCGAGTTTTCTGATACTTAATAATTCTCCCAACACAATATCTAATTTGGTTGTTTTTTTGTATTCAATTCTAAGCTCAAACAGGAAAAACGTCCGCTGTTTCATAATAAGTTGTTTACTGGAACGCCAGATGGCCATATTTGACGAAGCATGTACATCATTAGCCCAAATGGATGGACGGTAGACATATTTTGACACTTTTATAACAAAACTATGTGTATTGCCTCTACAAAATTGGCAGGAAAATTTGTTCGTAAGATGGCCTGGAGGATGAAGCGTGTGTAAGCTAGAAGAAGGGGTATTAGAATGAATGCCTGTGCTCATTGTGTACTATTCTTGATGAGTTCATGGGGGAATCCGTAGATCATATGATATGACATAGAAAGAATAGCTCAGGTCATAAGGCAGTTTTCAGATTTCATAGTCTGCTAAATCTACTTCATAGGATTCACAGACACTTCTACTGACGTCGGCGACCCTTTGAACTACTGGAATGTTGAAATTTTAGACGAATGGAAGGCATCAGATGAACTCAAGTACAGTCCGCCGTTCCGCGGGTATCGTTGACTGAAAAACAAGCACGTGCTTTTTTAGTTACACCTTTATAAAGGCGATTGGGAGGTGTTACTAGAATCTTTATTCGTCACATGCTTTCTCCGTGTTCATTTCGTGATTGGATGTGGAGCTGTTAGTCATCGGGTCTCAGTCACGTTCGGTAAGATGATAGCCGTTTTTCGAAAGCTTGTTACCATATGTGACTTGTCTGAACATAGACAGGACATCTCAGTGATTACTGTCAAGCTTAGAAGCTGATGCCTATATAGCCTAGATAACGAATCGTCCCATATGAAGTAAGTTTCGTATAAAAGTTTCAGATATACGCTCGCTACATGGTCTCCGCCAAATATAAGGATGCATATTCGTCGGAATAATAGACTGATGGATTTTGAAGCTGTTCATAGAGTCCCATAAGGGCAAAAATCTTTTGTTTGTTATTTATTACTGACTGAAACAGAGGACGTTTAGCAGACAAACTCCATCTTCCCTAGCGAACTCCAAACCTATCGCAGAAAAAACAACTTCACATACTCGGACTAGTAACTATAACAACTACCTCTTTCGTACTAGGACAACAAAGCTTCCCTAGGGATGGTGAACACTCTCGAGTAATTTATGCATGAATCCTACAAATGTAGACAAAACAGTGAACCATCGTCCTATGACAAATCGGTAGATGAGGTCAGCCAATGAATGCACCCAAATTCATGTCAGCGTTGTCACACGACCATCATTTGCGTTTGCATGACTATGCAAATGAACGTGGTGACATCATATCTGTGTCGTTCTCAGCCGTCATATCACACAACGAGACGTACAACTTTCTTTGTTTCATGAGAAAAACAGTTCAACTCTTTTGACCATAACTGCAAAAACGCTTGCATCATTCATAATGTTATACGGACATTCTGTGTCAGCCAACAACAACTGTTTACCCCTATCAAGGTTTCCTGTTTCATCAATGTTTGCTCACAGAAAAATCGATCCCTTACAAACAATTATTCACGAACTTTTTAAGAAGTTAAAAGCCCTAAAAGTTGACCCAAATTGAATTGTGTTCAGATGTCGTAAAGAGGGTGCTTTGGAAGTGAAAAGTGAAATAGAATACTGGTTATATAATACAGCGAATTCTCCGATCTCATCCGATTCGTAGAACAAAAGTATAACTCGTCCCATAAAGTTTTATTATCAGAACCATTGGATTCTAAATTCCTAATTCAAGTAGCGTATATTTTTACACTCTCGACTTTTATTTACTCCTCCAACTAGTCCACCTGTTCCTTTCCTCGTTGTTCGTCTATCCACTTCACTAAGCAGAGTGTGCCTAGCAATCCCCATAACCACTGTATACCAGATGTCTAAGTATATCCACTATTTAGGGGAATAAATTGACATGTCACTCGTAACTGTGTAGGACTAATGAGCGAAACATATGCAGTATTTGTTTCGTTTAAACCCAACTGATCAACCACTCACAATGATACAGCCACTCAATTGTAAAGTACAATTTTATGAGTTGAAACATAAGACTCATTAGAAAATAGAATAAAGTTCACGCGATGTTCGTAACACAAAGCACATGCGTAATCTTCGCGTCCTTTAAAAGCCACCAACAAACTGCAGAAGAGGATCAACCTTGCAACCCTCTACATGACAATACAACATGTGAGAAGATAAAACCTGAGTTGTTTGTATGACCACTTGTTAATCGTCGCGCTCCCAGGGTGTATGCTTTTCCAGTTAACACAAAAAGTGAATACAATTGAAAGACAAGTGGACTGCAGTGTACATGATTCTGTGTTCCTTAAAATAAGTGGTTTCTTACCTTTAGTATAAAATCGCCCTCGCGAATGCCAGCTTTGTGAGCAGGCATATTTGGAACGATACGTGTTGCTGTTTGTAGGCTGGGTCTGCTGGCGGTTGGCTGGAATGTGGCTATCATTTGTGGATCTGTGGGTGCGAAATAGAGAGGATAGCCTTGAGCGATAGCTAATAAAAGCACTTGGCATCAATAGACTGTTGTCTCTGCTTTTATCAGTTGCTGATTAAAAGTGCATCCATTGGTACCCATAGTGTTTCATGCACCTCTACTTTGAGATGAGAGTAGCAGTGGTCAAGGAGCATTCTCTCATTCCAAAATAACCAATTTGCTATAAAGGAGCAACAGACACTTGTCGTTTCACACGGGCCGGCATGGCTCAATCAGGCAGAAGGTGCCGCTTCTGTATCAAGTCTATCAGCTTTACTATCCAGCTCCCCAAACTGAGTGATCACGTCGTGGCATCCGCTGCTTTGTTATATCTCTCAAACTCTCTCATTTTTCGGTGAACGAAACCGTAGCAGCTAGAACCAACATCCTCTTGGTACATGGTTTATAGCTGACAAACCGAACTGAAAAGCCTGTTTCTGTGTTCCAGCGATTGAAATTACGGAAAGTTCTTTTTAATTGTTTCCAGGGGCTTCTCCCTTTATATCCTGCTTTCCCGTTCGCTTGTTACCCAACGTGAAGCATTTTGTCATTCTCACTAAAATACCTGATGATTTAATTTCTCAAACTCCTAGTTAAGGGTAAAAATGTTGGAAACATTATTGCAAGGCCACTGTTTCACTTATCAGACTAATTTTTGTTACAAACCGTTGAAGGAGTGTTGAATAAGTGATAGCTGTTAACAATCCATGTTTCGTTTCCAAAACTTTTCTGATAAATGAGGCAAGTCAAGAAAATGCTAACATTTGCGTGGAGTAGCTAGTTTGGAACATTTTCAGCTGGAAATGCTCAAGTTAGTTGGATAAAACGCAAAACAGGTCATGGCCAAACTGATGTTTCTGAAGTGCAAACAGACCTGCTAAAGAATAGGGCAAAGCAGAACTTTGACGTCTTGTGGTTCCGTCCAGCATGACGGTTTGACATGGAAAATTTGGTAGCCTTCAGTGGAACACGATGACTACTGAAGACGACATGTCAAGTAGTGAGTGTTTAATATTTCGGCACAGAAACCTGGCGGGTCTAGTCCGAGTAATTGTGTTCCGCAGGGGATAATTCATGAGCCGTTGCAACGAGTAACAACCGAAATGACTATCGGAGAAACAAAACACGCTACATTCAATAGTGAAGTATTTACATGATGTGCAGAGTAACTACTACCATCTCAGCTGATGGAACCTCAAATCAAATTTAAAAAAAAGCAGACCAGAAAGTAATAGTTGAGGCGTTGTGGAGCAACCGTCGTCTGCACTTATACAAAGGAATCCTAAATTTATAAAATGTTTTCTAGCTGATGGGATGGTACTCCTATGGGGTTCTCGTTCCCTCCGTTGCGGAAAGATGAATGTTTACGTAAATGTATCATGTATCGAGTTTGTTACAGTCACTCGACTCTTATTCGATCGAACTCAAAAGGTCTCACTGAAAAAGCCTTCAGTTGTCTGAATAACGGTGTGCTTTCGGTATTGACGAACATGCGAGTCCCTTAAAAATACAACGGGTAGAGTATCTCACTCCATGTGTTCCGTTGTATTAGTCGTTATATTAGTCCAGTTCCTGCCCACCTAATGGTTCTGTACACTCATTTTGTAAGAGCCGTTGTTCAAGGAAGCCGTGTGGATTTGATGCTACTTTAGTGTATCTTTGGAGTACCCGCCTTGACATGACAGCTATTTCTGTTCGGGTTTGTCAGATTTGCACAATAACCTTTAGGCAAACAGTGATAAGCGCTCTAATGGCTGCATTACGGCTTTTACAGTGCGCACATTTTTGGAATGAGTTTCAAACCGGCTGCGTCAGCGGTCACTTTAAAGCGATTGTATTTCATCTGCTTGTCATGTGCATAACGCCCATCATTAGGCTTTCATGGTTACAGTGAGCATCCCTCAGCGCTGTTATTTCTGTCTATCGGTTGACATGAAATGTTATCAATATCAACCAGCTCGTGGGTGGAAAATGCTTCTTCACAGCAAGAAAAAGGCTGGCCTTAAACCGAATGAACGTAGAAAACTAGTGTTTGGCTTTTGCTGGACATCTGAATTTCAACTGACACGCGGTCTTCCAATTTTTGCACTGTAGGTTGGATGGTAGTGAAAAAACATCGAGCTAACTTGCTAAGACTCAATTAATAATAGTAGACAGCTACAGTTAAACGATTAAAAAAACTTGCACCATACTTTGGCAGAAAGCCTGCCATGAGGTTCGCTACAATTGTCACGACATTTCCAAACCAAATATGCTTCCACTGAAACTAAGAACTCTAGCAGCTTTCAGCCGCTGACTACTTTGTACCTTCAAGGAACCAACGATCTTCACAACAATTCATATACTTTTCGAGTTCATGCTGTCCTCTTATGTTAAACCTTTACTCCATGGTGGGGGACCACGCCAACAAAGTCCCAAGTTAAGACCTGTAAGAACTTTCGGCGGTGGTCGGAGCTTACATCATATCTGCAGTCAACCACCACTGGAAAATGAGTTCGTTGAGGCACCGAAAACCGTTCAGATTAACTTTGCAAACAACAAAGCACTTTAACCTTTTGCAGTCCGCAGAGACAATCCAAAAGAAGATCGTGCACCGTTGTCATCTTCCTTCTCACTACCAGATCTCCAGAGTACCACAGTTCGTGGTACCAAAGGAGGCGTGGTCAGCTGCCCAAACGTAGGCGAGGGAACACTCGGGGGACCAGCTTTCAGGTGCCACTCGCGATAATCAAAACAGGAGATGGAAGGTTTCATTCCCTGAGGTTGACTAACTGATTGTGAACGGGATGCACTGGTTGAGACAGGCTGGACAGCACGGTGAATTCTGTAGCTAAAAACATATGAAGAAATATGAATAAATTATGCACAGGAAGATTTTCAAACAGATTTGGTTCCTTTAAGAGCAAATGAATTAGGATGCTTGAAATGGTCTTGGTAGTCCATTTGAAGCAAAAGAAAAATCATTCCCTTGCAAAGGAATCGCTTCACTACAAAGTAACCCGAGACACCTGTATCTGACACTTGTATCTGATTCAGTTACTTTCGTCTTCTTGTGGGGTGTAAAAGGCCTCTGATGAGCCAAGTTCATGCTACCATCATCCAGAGACGCAAAAGTTCATCAAATTGGCAAAGATAAAACCTGGGTTATTGTACTCTCCGGTGTCACGTAAGCCGATGCCTTTTTCTCTAAAGCCGACTCCGATACTCTATGCAGGTTGGTTAGCCGTTGACCCAGCTGCAGTGACGTAATCTATCTTAGTCACCACTAAAAGTCAAGAAGCGCTTGTCTGAGGAAGCATCTATGGTACAGACGTTAGATGAATAGCACTAACTACGTTCACCCTGTAGGAGAACAATGGCTTAGTAGAATTGTAAACTCGTCTCAGAACTTTGGTCTGTCAACCGGTTCAAAGGCTTTTGTTCCCCGATATCTAACACTCTTTTGGTTTTTGTGACAGTCTGAATAATATTTCAGCGAGTTCCATGAAGAATGTTTTTTGTTGATATTAGTCCTATCGTCAAACTTTGACCTTGAATAAAATGTATGACTTCACGTGATTGTTTTAAACCAAAGCCCTAACATAGCACAGTCCAGTGAATATTTTAATAATGCTATTTAATTGTGGGTATAAATTCCCCATTGTCATTTTTGGACGCTAATGCACTCCTTCACACTATATTAGACCTGGCCACTTTAATTTCGTGTGCCACACCAGACATAAGTAACGTCTTGATCAGCCACGTTCGGTTATCTTATGCCTCAGAGACTAATTATGCCATAGGTGAGCCAAGAAAGCCAAATAGAGGCTCCTACCTGCGTGTTCTCTCAGATGACAATGATGTCAAAAAATCGGCATTTTCAAACTTAAATGTTAGTTAATCAAAATGCCACAAGTGCTCTTGAAGGGACAGCGAAAGTTCCTCCATATTACACATCCTGGGAGTAGGAAACTCTCTCCTCCTTTGAGGGTTTTGTTCTTACTTGAATTTCTGCTGTAATGAATCAGCCTGTTAGTACCACCTACACAGCACCACTGACATGCCTCTGAGCCAATGAATGTGGCCAGCAAAGTATGCTTTTTTATTCATACATTGCTAATAAGGAAGGGTTTATTTGAGCATTGTTCGATCCCCTTAGCAGTCATTGCACAAACTTTTTCCAGTGGAGCGAACTCTTTAATTTCTGGAAACAAGGATCATACCAAAGTGAACACTTACTCGTAGGCGACCGGAGGACTTCGGCCATTGAGTGGCTTTGCTTGTGGTGATGATCTAAGTGCATTTAAGTGGACCGTTTTTTCGACAGATGATGAGTTACTTATTCCACTATCCGTTTGGCTTCCCTCTCGTTGGAATTCACGGCTCCAATTCGACTCTCTTTTGCTGCACGGAGCTCCTGGAGGTACAAAGGAGGTTAACAGTTCTGGACGATCCAGTCGAGAAAAATGCCTTGGGCCATCCCTCATGACCATGGTGAAATCTGGTTGTTTGGGAACGTATGGCTTCTGAATTTCTCTCGGTTTGTGGGGAAGCATATCGTTTGGACCACTGAGTTCATCTGATATAGAAGATAAATAATGAAGAAATTATCGGTTCCATGACTCACGTGTGAACTGAAAAGTCTCACTGGAGTCTTTTATAGGACAGATATTTTTGTCAAATTAAACTGACCTTTACCCAAGACACTGTAATTCCTAAAATTTGTCCCGCAACAAACGATGGAACGGAACTTTTGGTTCGAAGTACCCATACCCTATCTGTTGTTGTAGTGAAAGTGTGGTTTTCAAACAGGAAGGCATCTATTTTCAACATTCGAACAGCTTCATTGACGGCTCACTTTGAAAGTAAGCAGGCTTTTTCCTAAAGGAACTACTCACAATCAACATTCGAACAGCTTCATTGACGGCTCACTTTGAAAGTAAGCAGGCTTTTTCCTAAAGGAAACTACTCACAAGGTTGCTGAAAACTCTTCGACTGCCCACGACCGGTTTCGCCCTTCTTGGGGCTCATCAGGTAGGCGCAGCCTTTAGTGCTGAGAAACAGAGAGCTAATTGGGTAACCTATGTTAGACCACCCACCATTTTGTTTTTCGGAGGTAGAATGAGTTTCTTCTCCAGAAGGAATGAGCTGATGAAGAAAAATCACAGTTATCAGCACCGGCCAATTTGGCTACTGCAAATGCTTCCTTGATTGGTCACTGTAAAGATGATGGTTTCGGGTTTGGAATACACTAGGCATGTTCCGGCACTGCTCTTGACACTGCCTCACAGGAGAGTTTCAACGGTGTTCCATCGCGATTATGATGCTACCAAGCAATAACTTGTGTAATGACTTGACAAAAGGCGTCGAGCCAGCTAACTGCATAAGTAGGACATGAACTGGTTAAAATTGTACCTCAGAGGCTGGTGAAGGGTGTTATTTCTTCTCGGTGTATTGTACGATTATCAAATCAGAGTATTCGCCTGTGAAAAGACGTTTTTTGCTTGGATGCCCATGTACTATCCAAGATTATGTATAGTACTTTGGAGCACATTGATTTGTTAAACACAACTCTATCGGACACATTCAACCTCGTTCGAAGTTTTCTTCGTGAGTCAGCTGTCGATCGAGTCCCAAATCTTATGTATACGCGCTTGGTTGTTGATCAGGTGGAATTTGATATCGCTGCCGGCCTTACTAACTAGACTGTAACCGTCTCGTCACCATACAACATCCTCACTATGTGGTTGGGGGGGGGGGGTTTTTTTATGTTACTCGAGTTTGTGGTTGGGGGGGGGTGGTTTTTTTATGTTTACTCGAGTTTCTTGATACTTCATACCCCTGACAGGAGAGACTGTTAGAAGTTTTGCTTTCATATAGTTCATTTGATCCCTCTGGAGTTCGTATTGCTTCGGAATCTGATTCGATTGCGTTCATTTTACCAGTTCTTTTCTTTTGTTCCGATTGGCTGCTAAACCACTGAATTCAAGTTGGTTAATGAGCTAATCGAGTGCAAGTGAATTAGGCAGCAAAGCAACAAAAATTACGGACATTTCATCAAATTACTTGCAAGCCAAACTTTTAACAATCGACCACATCGGAGATATAAAGCGAACCTTAGAAATAGTATAAACGCAGATAGGCTGATATAAAGTAACTACGATGTTTGTTCTTGTGGCGACAAAAAGTTTGTAAGCCAACTCCCAGATAAACTGCCCTAGGTCGATGGTTCAAAACTGCATGTGCCCAGTTCTTCTTGATAGAATACCATACTTTCTGTCCAAAACTGATATCAAAATCAGTAGGTAATGTTCGCGAAACTTTCCCGTACCCTCAAATCCTGAAACTAATCCTTCCAACTGCGACAACAATTTGCATTCCGAAATATTTGGTTCGAATTTTCTATCTGGAAAGCTTGTAACACACTAGCCCTAATTATCTGTCATTCATACGGGTATTTGTTCATTATTCAAGGTCAGTTACCGCAAGTTCAATAGAGATGTTTGGAGCAACGTTAGACAAAACCCTGATTTACTCGCGCAGGATAATGGTTTGGCATGCACAGATAACGATACAGACAATTCAGTCCCGTAAATTAGCAGGTTGAAACTCCTGCTGTCACCTACGTGCTCTACCTACGAGTTTGATTCCATACATATGGAATCACATGAGTAGAGATAATTATGGCTAGCAAATTGTGCGGTTGGTTTCACAATAAAGGAACCACGCTGGTAATCGATAAAGACGTGAAAGAATGCATACATCACAGAGTGCGCCTCATGGTCTTGCCGGAATGTAAAAGCTAAAGTGTTTATGAGATCTCAATTTAAATACTATACATTTGAAAGCAGACTGCCATTTCTCCATTCTCTTGTTTTGTTTCTGCAGCAGCGCAATTTCTCCATTGTGAGGACTTACTCTCCATTAACGAACCAAAATCTCAGTTACGGCTTAAAACTTTTGTCCCCACCAAGAGCTCTTAACCATGAGGAATGCATAGTGTGCTCAAGGCGAGTCAAATAAACATGCAGCCAATGCCATGCATGACTTTAAACATTCATCTGGAACGAAACTGTAATTTTTGTAATCTAGATAGTGAATCAAGAATCTACTATCACGGTTATGCTAACCCACTTTGGGATCCGGGAAAGCAACTCTGAATGCAACATTCACGTCAGGCAAAACAGTGCGGAACTCATTTCAGGGGTGGGTTAGAGCGGAAACCTTGTTCTTAAAATTGCGTCCTATTGTAGGGGAACCCAACAGACCTTGTTCAAGGTTGTGTGCCCACTCAAAATTAAGTTGTACCTCCACCGAATGCTTCAAGGTAGAACACTGTTCGAACGAACATATCTCGGCCAATATCAGTCGCATTTTGCATAGAGATCCACGTTATGCAGCGCAGTTGAAATACTTGATAAGTCCCTATTGGGTAGAATACCATCCTGCGTTTTCCGTAAAATTCATTCAATATTCCTACAATAAGTTCAGGTCACCCATGCACTACATATAGGATGGACATTTTCCCATTTCAACGCAACAGACTCCTATGTTATCAAATTTTGGGGAAAGGTATTAAAATAGCTTTATGCGGGACACAAGATCACCAGTAGCCCACGTGTTTTCCCAAAAGTTGTGTGTTGCGCCACCCAGTAACTCTCCTCCAACCATTGAATATAATTTTGAAAACCTGCGGAGTGAATAACACTACTACGTGTGTAGGTCATACGTCAGCATAAATAGGTTGGGTTAAGGTACGTATGCCGTCATATGCTTGAACCTTGTACGAGGACCTGATCTTGCTTTGCAGTCGTTTGTCGGGACTGGTTTGCTAGTCAGTTTGTTGGCCTGCGTCCATCATAGCCATCCAGTAATAAATAATAATCAGTAATCCTTCAGCCGTAACTTCCTTTCGGCGCCCAGCTGCACGCCACCTGAAGGAAGGACGAGGGTTGAGATACTGTCATGTTGCTCAAACTCATACACTGGAAGTACATATATTGGATCCATACAAACAAACAGTAAGCTCACACTCTAACCAATGAGCTGTCTGGAGCTCTTCGATCTCTGGTGCTAAGTAGTTCAAGTAAATCTTATATGTGACCTTTTATTTAAACTGTAAATGAAACATAGTTCTCCCGGGTAAATGAATTCATCCAGATCATCGTGTACTTTGAGTGCAATCAGGCAGTTGTTCTATGACAAGGACGGCAAAACCATCATTCTTAGTGAAACTCTGAATCCGTGTTTTTTCATAGACCATATTAAGAGCATATTCACTGAGTAAACATGAACAAAAAGCTGGTAGGAAAGGAACTGCGTTCTCAAGTACGGGACGATTGTGTCCCATCAGAGTGATTAGGCTCAAAAGTTTCCATTGTCAAGAGTTAATTTCAGTCAGCTGAAAAATTTCACCATGAAACTAGACTCCAACAGTCTGTGAAGAACAAGACTGGGTTTACGATTACTGAACAGTTGAGAGAATTTTTGTCTCGTGAAACATCAAGCTGGACAATTTTAAGCAAATCTCTTTGTGTCAGCTTTCTCGCTGCTTCCGTTTCTTAACAAGGTGCACAGTGAGTGTACGCCCTCTCACGTGCTGCCGAATCAGGGGATTTAGGAATTCGCTGCAAATGTCACATTAGTCATGCAGTTAATTTTGCTTGTCTTGTGATTGTCTGCTGGCAATTATCGAAATGATGGGCAACTCAGTCTATAGAAAAATGGAGAAGGTTGGAACAGTCAAGTGACAGATCCTTACAGGTGGCATGGTTTCGCGCATACCATCCACTTGCGAGATCTCAGGGACCAGCTGGACTGATTGGCCAACTGAGACGCAGCTGCATGTGACCAGCATGTAAACAGGGATGTATGAATCACTCGAAGACCGATATTACAAACGATACCGTTGATTTATTATGTCGCCACCTTCATTCACGCCTACACGGATGACACATCCAGTAAGCGTCCGAGTTTAGCACGGACCGGCTAGATCAGAGAGTGACGTTGGACTCACTTGTTACGCCTAACTTAACTTTTGCGGATTTGTCTCTGTTCATTGACGTTGATGTATCAGTGACCTACCAGGGAGCTGAATACCAAAGCAGTCGCTCATCATTCTCATACAGTTCCACCATTATCGTGTCTGCAGCACAACGGTTTGTATATCACCCCACAAGCTTGCAAAGACCAAATGCCACCAAAGATGGCTATAGTTACCACACCCAAGGGCGAGCCGTTTTAAGTGAACAAAACCGTTGGCCCCTCTGAAATGCATTTAACTAAAAGAACTCCAAAACCCCCTCTCTATCAAAACCCTGATTGTTCCAACTGATGGACACGTTTTGCCTTCCACCAGTAATTCCCATCTTTTTCAAAAACATTGTTTATTCCAACTGCTCTTGCAGTTCTTACCTGATTTCTCTGTCAAGCCACCGTTATGACACATAAAGACCCATTTATCTCAAATATCTAGAAGCACAGGAACCAGCAAATTCATGCAAGACTTCCATTGTTATAAAACAAAACGGGTTCCATCCGGTAGCACTGTGAAACAAAATGAACTTCATGATTTCACTGGCAACAGAAATCCAGCGCTACACACTGATGAAGGAGGAACGAACTGAATGGTGAACAAAACATCTAGCAAGCTAACATTTTTTGCTGATCGAATTGGGCAGTATTTTTGCCGTTTGCTTTCACTCAGGTAGTCAGGAGAATAAGTTTGAAGACAACTTTCAAGACGTAAGTGACACCCCTGGAGTAGTTTTCATCACTTTCATCGCTGCTGTTATTTCATTTACTTTCTTCCTTTTCTAATGGACCCCAAAAAGTTTTTGTGGCAATCTTATAAGCGAAATCCAAACGTTGGTGGGAAATATTCATTAACCAATTCACTAAAACGTTTACAAGAAAGACAGTCAGTACACACCCAAGGGACAAGTATTGAATACGGATTCGCAACTTTCAGCTGCTGATGGAGAGGCGCATCGTGAAGTGCAATGTACTTTAACTATGGCTGAATGATTACCGTGTACAGTGGAGCGTCCCACCACTGGTGGTGGCTGTGAGGCATATCTTTTTCGTGCAGTTAAGTGCCAGTACGTAGTACTGGTGCATTTCTGTCAAGCGTAAAGATAATCGTTGGTTCGGACAAAACTAGAACCCCGCTTTGAAAAATACCAGCCCCTTGGAGGAGGTTTTCTTGACAAATGAGTTTTACCCTGGAGAACGTCGTTAACCACTGGAAGCGTACTAATCGAAGATGTTTCATCAAATGTCGATGGATAGACTGGCCTCTTTCTAGGGGTACTACTCATGGAAAACGTCCTATGCATCACAATCCAAGTAGTCAGCAAGATATTATTCAGCTCGTTTCCCTGGCAGCAGTTTTTAGTCAGAAGACTCCTGTCTGTCCTAAGGCACCATGTAACCACTGGTCTGTTCACTCGTATTGTGTACTGGTACGGAACACATGAACTTGACTTATGAGAAGCCTACTTCCTGCCAAAGACGAGCTGTACGCATGGCTTCTATCCTAATTTTTAGCGCATGCATTTCACCTAAACACTGATAATAATCGTAGCGACCATCAGCCATCAAGATCCTAACCGATATTGGAAGTGAAAAGCTTTTACCACAGTTTGAAACCGTGATAGAATGCATGTTTTACGGGTCAAAAGTTCATACTCATACGTTATTGGGTGTGCGACTTCAAGTTTAACTTAAACACTCATCTGCATACAATTTGATTTGAAGGAAGACTCGCCCAGAACCAAGCTGAATATTTGGTTTATGCTGGGCTAAGAACGTTCACCTGGGTTCCAGGTGACTTGCCCGTCAAAACCAAAGTGGTATGCCGATGAGTGCATAAGTTCAGCTTAGTTCGAGTGGAACATAAGGTTTACGGAAATTCGAGAACTGTCTGCCTGATGGGTCCAATGAAAGGCAACACCGGTTATGGGCTGTTGAATAGCTTTCAGCAGCCTTATGACTAGTGTATTACGTCTATACCCTATGTTTATTTCAAACAGTAAAGACGGTCAAGCTGGACAGTCTGTGCGCTCAAACTTGAGCAGCGCACATGAATTCATTGCAAACAAACTATCAATTTTTCAAAGCTTTCACATAAACGAGTCTACATAGAAACCAAAAGGTGTGAAAATAAAGGCTTAGTTGATCTTCCTGATCACCTACCACTCTGATTATGGTTTTGTGCCTGGCTGTCGGAGACCGGAGAGTTTGCTAATTTCCATTGTATTTCCGTATCACTTAAATATTTCCTAAGTCCAAAAGGTCTTCATTTGTAATCAAAATTTGTCTATTGAGTCATGCTGACAGTTACCACTGGTTGACGGGAAAAACTATTTTACTTATCATGGATCGCGGACATTAATGATATAAATAACGATAATGATTACCAAGTCGTGGCTATGAACTGCTAACCAAATGTTCACATTGTTGTCCTTCATTTCACGTTTTTTGGGTCCCAACAAGCACAGAAACATCTGAAGCGCTTCCGGGATGATGAAATTCAGAGATGCTACTGTAGGGAACTGGGTACCCCTCAAGACTGTTCTGCCCCAAAAACACAACCCCATGGAACATGCCTTCTTTTGGAGTCCCAAAACTGATATAAGTTTATGAGGTTCCTCGAGAGATATTTTAGACTCAACAACCTCATAATAGGGGCCACCAAAATGGGAATTTGTGCGCTAGCATCTATTACGCTCCAGGTCACGCTGGTTGTCATTATAAACAAACAGAATCTGTCTTTACAGCATCTCTGGAATGAGTTTGAATCAGTTCCAGTACGTAAACGTTCAGCACATCTGAATAGCGCCATTAGTTAGATCATTATGCAAATTCATGTCTGGAATAAATTGGCTGTTAGTCTACTAGATTACTCTATGGTCTGCTAGCCCAAGTGACTATGCTCAAATACATTTGCACAATAACTCAATGATTCAAAAATTTCTGGATCACATATGAGTTAAATCTAGAGAAAACAGCTTCTGTCTAACAATACGAAACAGATTTGCATTCTCAAATTCTCAAGTCGGAAGACTCATTCAGCTGCATATCGACCCCATTGATGTGACGCAAATGAGATGGGCTCATTCAAATACAGGATGACAAAATGAAGGCTTGCCAAAATAAGCAACCTGTCTAGCTGGGAGAGCAGAATGATCTCATTATAAAGCGGGTAGTTCATGCCAGCTGAATTGGCCACGTGGGCATAATCCCGATGCCTTCCGGAGTCACACTGAGTAAATAGTTACCACGAGTCAGAAAATGGTATTCTAACCTCAACAGCTATGCCCAATATGTGGACAGCACTAGATTGTGTTTCCATCGAACATTGATTTGTATGAAAACTATCCCTAAAGTGCTACCAAACTACCCTCAGTAGTGTGTTGTTTGTGTCTATATATTTGTCAAATCCTGATAAATCCCAAGAAATCGTAAATCGCATCAAATCTTCCCTCCTAGAACACATTCCAATACCACTCGTGCTCGCTTACTTTGCAATCCACCTCCATCGGGTTAAGGGGATTTGTTAATTTACATACCAAGCGAGCAATTGCAATATTGTCGCGAGAATGTATAGGATAGGTACGGTTTAGGTTGCCTAAGAGTATAAACGTAGCTGACATTCATTTCTGGTCTGTTTTATGAGTGTAGTGTGACGGGATATGAAAGCTACGGATGTCAACGACCTTAGCTTGGCTAGTGGAAAGACTCAAGTTACTGTCATACGCAAAGTTTGAGCACTTTGCACCGCTGGCCCCAGTAATATATAAAATCAAACCCAAGTATCCCTTTCGAAGTGTCACGAGTGCAGTTCTTGGATATGATTGCTTTTACCAATTAGAGGCCACGTATTATGGGTAATTCGATTCCTTGGCTAAGTGTTAATGGCTATGTTTATCACACAATCTGGACACCCATACACAAGTGCTTGCTAGTTAAAATATGGGTGCCGGCAAGGTCATTTAGACAATTAACTACACGACGGACACTTGCAAATTAGTTACCCGTGAGGAACGATAAAGCCAAACAGCATAGACCTATTTGTCCAATGGGGTGATAAACAACGCTATGGAGGACACCATTTCACAGTGATAAAATCCAAAATGGGATATAAATTTCCATACAAATGACATAGACAAAGACAAAATTTACAATTGTTTTAATTGCTGAATGTCGATACAACTTGAATTCATTAGTCTTTCATATAATTGAGAGGATTTAGACGTTAGAGTAGAGTACGCAACATTAATCGGTTATTCAGGTTAAAACCAACGTAACTGAAGTAATTGCATACTACTGTCTAACAAAGCTGATATCTGTGCGAGTATGCCACGCGTTTTTGGTAATCGACGTTGGCTGATAAAGCCAGTCCCAGTAGATCAGCAGCGTCCCTTAAATGCAAGATGTTAAGTGACCAGTTCTCATCATTCCGTCGCGACCGCCCATTTCACTCTCGTGGCCATCTAAAAATTTCAGTTTTTCGTGACCTCTGGAATATGAAACTCACAAAAGCAAAAATTAAACTCCTAACCACGCCATGCATTATTGCTCGTAGCCTGATACACCTGGTGGCACCCGTTAGTTCGACACTTGCTGCTGCAGAAGACAATCACAATACAATGAATGTGGAGTTGAGGACGTCGGTGGGAGTAAATATCATTTGATACCAGGGTATAGCGTGAACTTGTACACAGGGAAACTTGTACATTAGGAAGATGTCTGTGTTCCATAGTGAAAACCATCACTCACCGGTTTTTCGGGATGCCAGTTTTGGTCTCCTGGACAGTGTTGCACTCACACTAGCAGTTGAATCCATGACTCGACTATCATAGTAGATTTGCGAAGCCATGAAGAAGGAACCGCACACTGCTGTGGGACTAATGGAAGTAGAGTTCTTCTGGAATGGAAACTGTGCACTGGCCTTCTGTCCATTTTCAGCTAGATTGTACATTGACATTGCACGCTGCATCGTAGAACACGTGTTCGTTGAGTGCCCATTTATTCTTGGAGATCTGGCGATATTGCCTTCTTCCACTGGAGTTGGAAGTGAACTGTATGCTGTTCGAGGACCAGGCTCCTTGGGTCTTGAGGCAGTGGGCACCAACATGGTTGGCTCAGAGATATGCGAACTTTGCGGGGCCTTTCGCATCCTGCGCTTTGGATTATAGGTTGGCGTTGGTAAAAATGGTCCACCTATGAGGTCACCGGTGTGAACAAGAAATATAAAGTCAAAGAAGGGATTCAACCGTTAGGAAACAAGCAAAATTCATTCTTCGTTCATACTGGAACTGTCTGAGGTTTCCTTCCTTAAAAGTATCTGTTGTGACACGTTCTTCGTGAATTCGCAATCTTTTGCAAGTATTTTCATAATGCATACTACTACGGACTGGACCACGATCAAAAAAGTATCGGGAAAACAAAACAGCTTATTATTATTGATTCGCTTATTGTCATGGTCCTGTTATGAGGGGCCACTTCAGCGGGCTCTTTCAGCTCCCGAATAGGAACTTATCGTCCAAGCGAATGTGGTTGATGCTAAAAAGGAGCTTTGCAAAGCTGTTTCAGCCTTGTTAGAGATCGTCAACAGTGTTTGTCTCATAAGTCTTTAGTGAAACCCAAAACTGGTTGACGTTTTAGCAAGGCCATTAGACCAGGAGTGACGAATCAGCATTTCGCAGAAGTTGCCATTTGAGGAGACAGTCAAAACTGTTAAAAAGTGACGTGGTTTGCTTAATTTTACTGATAAAAATTGTTTTAATACTTTCATAACAAGCATTTAAACTCAGATCTAAGCAGCTGAGGTAAATAATAATTACATAATGGGGGAGTGGAATTCCCGTTTGAGAAGTTTCTCGAACAAGTAGTCGACACGTGGTCACGTGATCTAGTTTCCTTGATTGAGGGATGAGCAACGCCATACCCCAGCTAAGTGTCAACTATTCACAGTGCTGATTAACCGCTCGTGGACTAACATTCAAGTGTTCACACTAACGGCCAGCAGCTCACTGGGTCTAAATTTGCTGGCTGTTCGTGAAATGTACACTGCTGATGATTCCCAATAAGGACGAAACGGCTGTACATTACTCCTCGGTTTTCCAGAACAGGTTGGCTTTACTCGCAGGAAAAAATATCAATTGAAAATCAGGTACGTTTTGCTTATTTTAGTTTGGCTGACTGAGTGCCGTCTGTTCCCGACCTAGATCAGTTACGGGAAACGGCTACTAAATGAGCGTGTTTCAACAATCGGTTCCGGTGAATGTCAATCGTCAATAAAGTTAGCAGAATCAGCAACGATAAATCCATCGACAGTTCTTCAACCAGTTCTGAGGAGATGACCCCTCGGTCGGTTCCAAACATCAGCAAACTGGTTGAGAGCTTTGCAGACCTCAAGTTCAGCATTGTGAAAAACAAATTCTGACGTCAGGTTATTCCGAGTGATAAGGAATAACTCATTCTTTGTGTGTGCGACATTCCATCCTGTGAAGAATATTATAAAGGATATTTGTTCCCTGTTCTTCTTCGAGCTTATATCAAAGACGAATCTCGCTGTAACCAAGCCCCCGACTTTTAGAAAAATAAAGCGAAGCCGTTGTCGTTGGGATGAGCTGTAAGATATTCTGGTTAGATATGTGAACTGCATTTAAACACGGTATTGCTGCCCTACATGATAAGCAAAACAAGACGAATGTGTTTTCCATGAAAACACTTCTTGGAGGTGTTGTTGGGTTGCCGGCACCGTGCATACAAGCAAGGCTTTCACAAGGTGTTTGTTAATATAGTCATTTTTTGCTGGATTTGTTAATTTGACCCTGGGTTATGCACCGGCTACCTAACCAGTTTAAAGCAAAAGTTGAATCTTGATTGTTACACTCGGCATCCGTTCTAGCTCTGTGCTAAGCAGATCGTGACTTTAAATCCACCGACACCTGTCCTTAAATCGGACCACAACTTTGAAACCGAATTGCAAACGCGGCTTATACAGTTCCATTTCACTGGTTTACTGTTCATGCACTCATTAAATATTCATCTGTTTCTCGTTGTGTAATCTCACTTGCCGGTTGAAGTTTCGAAATGTTATGACGTCACTTAGTTCTGCCGCCGTAAAAACTTTCGCATTGGCAGACTTGCTTCAGCCACCAAAGCTGTTATACCTAACCTATATTGCAGAACCTTTCGAAATTAGGACGGATCCCCCTGTTTTCCTCGGTTTGGTAGAGTGTGAATTTTCAGCTGCTTTACAATCATTTGTGAGCTTAGCATAATTCATTCATCGCATCGGGTTGGACGTCAACCAAAACCGAGCGCTTTTCGCTATGTCACGCAGGATTTTGGTCGTATTGGTGAAAACCAAATGGTGGTAATCGGTAAAAGTCTGTATACAAGACATGAGAGCATAAACCAAAGATACCTGATCCTGAAAATTAAAAAAAATGTGCTTTTCGTTCACCTACGAGAATCGTCACACCTAAAACAATTGGCCTGTCACAGACAACATGAGTTTCAAGGACGCTAACGCTTCTCATTCAATTGCACATTTCTTTTCGAAATTCGAGGCTGAGGTCAGCGTCTGAAACAGAGTATTTCATATGCCACAATCTGCTCGTTTATGCGCATTATTCCTGGTTTCCGGAGTATAGGTATGCGGTACTAATCAACTCAGAAATTACTTTTCAATTCTTTCCACAGTTCAGTGGCTTGCTCAACTGCCAGCCACCTCATCCAGAGAGCTTCGTGAAGGGGGGTTCATTCTCAAAGCCCGGTGCCAATTTTCCGCTTGCTGTGCCGATAGTACACTGATCCATACAGCGTTTTTGGCGACATTTTGGTTTCTATTTATCGGCAACATACAGGAGCTTACGTCCCGGTTCCACCTGAGACCATCCAAGTCTACTTTTTGAAGCAGAAACAAATGTATAAATACGAGTGTTTTGAACTACCCTCTATTAACATATACATTGGTTTGCTTCTTCAACTGGCTGATGAAAGGCCGGTCTTTGCACCAAAATACCATTACGACACCATACTACTTGGTAAAAGAGGCCAAACACATGACATGGACCAGTTTTGCCTGCACAAGGATGATAACATGGCACGAAACAAATCAATTCTAAAGAAACAGACTGTACTCAATGTTAAGATCTCGGTAAATAATACTAGTGAATGGTGTTTTTATTCATGTGGCCGAAGATGCCTAAAGTTAGAAAAAACAGGTCTTGAAATAAGCACATTTTAAGTAGTTTAGAATTATTGGGTCATTCTTTGTGGGACCGTCCTTCGATATGAATGAAAGAGGAACTTTGCGCAGTCCAAAAGAACAATATCCAATCCCTCGAGGTATGACGAGTAGCTTTCATCATAAGAAGAACACGACACTCAGAAATACATAAACATCCAAGTAAGCACGTAACAGATTCCTCGAAAATTGTCACTAACAATAATAAGACCCTTCCCTCCATCTGAGTTTCAACGTTACGCTTCGTTGCCTCATTTTCCATTATCCACCTTTGAGGCATAAAACACGCTTCTCGGTTAAACCTGACATCTCTATAGCTGTATGACAGTATAGAAGTTGTTTCGGACCGCAAATTCGTATGCTTAGCAGGCTAAAGCCCCATAATTTTCTCTTAAGAGCTTGTCCAACAACGCTGATCGTCATCAAGGGAGCTTACATGAATAGAGACAAAGAAGGTATCTTAAGGAAAACTACATTCTACCGGTGGAATAGCAGCGGGAGCTACCTACTGAACGTGTACCTGCATTCAGCATTCTTTAACTGTGGAACGATTTATTGGTAAGTATTCGTTAATTTCATGAAAAATCTATGAGAAAAGCTTACGGAATACCTCTGCGGAGTTGAACTCACTCCCAGGTGTCGCTAACTTTTGCCACAAGTTAAATAACGGTGTTATAATATGCAACACATATGTACGACATAGGTACACTCATCTTATATTCGTTATTTGACTTAGTATGGAAAAATCTGAAACTGAAGTAGCGTGTTTGAACAATTCTCTTCTAAAATTCGATTGGCTGGACGGTTGTGTACGAAACCTGACGCACTTCGTAGGCTTTCTGGAATAGTACGGAGTGACTAGTGATATGTTTAGAGTTATATTTTGCAGAAACATTATACGTATCCTGTTCCACAATGACACGAAGGAGTTATGCGTGTGAAATATCTTGTTTGGTTTCAACTACCATACCAAGTTTACCGTTTGTATCAGTATACAGAGTCTCGAACTTGAATGCATAGTGAACGAATGAAGACATTCCCGGTTATCTGCTGTCATGTTATTGTGCCAAGCCTAAGCCGGTCGAACAAGCCTAATGCTAGCATATGATAACGATATCTAACCGATATCCAGCCCATTAAATTTTGCTGTCCTGTGGTGACATGACAGATTGTAACAAAGAATCATTCAACTAACTAGGCGAATGGATAGTTTCTACACACTATCTGCCCCTAGACGAGTTGTCTGTTGGAGTTTCGTCAGCCAAACACAGGAATAGAAAAAAACAAAGTGATACTTTGTGATCCTTGGCACTGTTTGGCAGCAAAATTACTCTCTGTTCTTTTTTCTACCCATATCAAAGTTTCTTTCCTGTGATGAGCGTTTTATTGTTCAAGCAAGCGCGTTTGTTAGCATTTGGAACGGTAACTAAGGGCGCTTTATGACTCCTGTATGCGCAGCAACAAAACCCTTTATCTGTCAAAATTCTGAGATACTTTTATACTTGAGTGAAGCTAAATGAGAAAAGTGAATCCCTTTCATCGAAATTGTTGATTTTCTCTGGTTGACGCACCTCAGTAGGTGAGTAGGGGATGTCTATTCCTTCTTTATTCCCTATAATCTTGAGATCACTGTGGAAAGGGCACCTACTAACATTAGGCTTTGGTAGTTTTCTAAAATCACATCATTGAGTGGTGTGACATTTCCAGGTGAACTAGAAGGAAGCTGTACTGCGTTTTTGAGCGCATGACCTATGTAGGAGAAATAATCCGCTCTATACATCAGATGATGGGCATTAGAGAAATGTCGGCTCGACGAACGTTGCTAAGGAAAAACCCGACTGTGACAAGTACCTACGAAGAAAACCAAAGTTGACTGTGTAACGAAGCAGTCAGATTTGTGGCCTGCAGATACTCTGTATCATGCTAAGTGTGTGAGACCCAGTGGATAACTGGATAACTT